TATTTGGCAGATGACGTAATCACTGCCAAATAACTCGAGTTATTTGGCAAGCACTATCATAGTAAGCTGCCGGATAAATAAGACTTATCAGACGGATTTATCCAGTGGGATTATGGTTTGCATGCCAAATAAAATTTATAAATTTATTTAGTAACATAATAAGCTGCTGGGTTCACAAAGTGTGAATTTTGTAACACAGGCCATCTTAGACTTGATATAAACAAGATCTTTAAGGGTTAAAAATGGAAAAATAGCCCAAATTTAGCCTTTGTTTGACAAAATATTGGCGAAATCGGTATCGACATCGAATAACGATAACGATAAACCAAGCTATTGTATCGGACGCACGGAAGAAAGCCTCCAGTCATTATATCGGATCTTTTTTATTATACAAATCTAGCACTTGTATTACTTGACATGCTTGATGTGTAATAGAGATTTAATATTCTTTTTATGCTAGGTAGCTGGTGAATAAGAACATAAATACGTATATTTAGTTTGAAGAGGCTATAATTATAAGTGCACTTCTAGAATACGTAGTGAAAATACGATAATTTAAATTCATAAAAGGAATTTTAACAATGGTTAAAATGTTACAAAGATAAACCATATCTCACATATGTGTTTTACTGGTACATAATAATGTTATGACAAAAATTACGTACTATATAGTTAGTTTGAATATGGTAATACATGTAAACCCAAAATGATATGGCACACAAACCAATTTTATACGTAATTGCGTACTACACATATATGTTTCGGAGAAGCTTACCGAAGAAATTATAAATAGAGTTACGATTATGTATGCGAGACATTTTCTTTTACTATTTTGTTATTGTCAATTTGTTGTCAAGACTTGATCTTATGATTTGACATTTCAACTGTTCAACAAATAAGTATAATTGTTTAGAGTATTAAAAAAAAAATGGAGAATGAAGATGTTATCGAATCAATCAATGATAGCAAAAATGTAGAAACGGATTTTGAATCTAGTAATTCCTTGATTGATAATTCAATTGGTATCTCGTCTATACCATTGCGTCATGATAGCATCGATTTTAATAATCGTGACCAAAGTATAGCCACGAACCTTGATTACATAAATCCATCATATCAACAATCATATCAACAGTCATCTGAATCTTCAACCTCATCATATCAACAGTCATCTGAATCATCAACCTCATCATCTCAAGCCAATACAACGAAATCTGGACTCTTAAATCGAGTTGGTACTTATGTATCAACGACACTTCGTGGAGCAGATGATATCCCATCATCAGAAACAATAAGAGTTGTATTTCACGCACATCTGCCTCCTAATATTGAATCTCATTTCGAAAGAGCCATCCCATGCGTTGTTGGAAATATCGATGAGCTAGGAAAATGGGAATTTCCTATCGTAAAGCTTAGACAACCTTATAGAAGGCATATGCATAGAACTACTTATTGGGTTTCGGATCCGGTTACGATTCCAGCTTCGTGTTTTGAAACCGGTGATGAAATAAGATATCTTTATGCTATTTACATTCCTAAAAGACAGGAAAGGAAGAAAAATAAAGATAAGGATGATAGGATGGATATAGATGATAAGAATGAATATAGTGGTGATATGTATCGTGAGTCTCTCGGAGGGAATTCTCGTGTTCTGAGAAATCTTCTTAGTGAACAAAATCAATTTGACATTGTGAATCAAATAAGAATTGAGGGTAGTGATTATTGGACCAAAACCATTCATGATTTCGAATTTTTAAACTTTATCTGGCAATCACTTACACCTACTAATACTAGAAACAAACTACTTGAATATCGTAATATCTTGGGTAAATTTCAGGAAATTACAAGGCAAGAAACAACCCAGAGATTCATTGTAGAGTGCATGCAGTCAACTAGAGATAGAGAAAAAGAAAAAAGATTATTTTTATGTGTCCTTATAGGCTACCATATTTTTTTACGTCAAGTGAATGTTATAAGTGATGTCAACTTAAATCCAAAATTTCCTTCATTGGAATTCTTTGAATGCCTCAATAAATTTCAACCTGAAAATTGGTTGTCTGATACTCCCGAGATTCTTTTGGTTGCTATTCATGCGTTGGTTCGTAATAATATGTATCAAGATTCAATTGACTGGTTAAAAAATATGTTTGCTTATGCACCTCTTGTGGATCCAGGATATAGTTTCATTGATGTTGTTGCAGAAAGGAATATAAACCTAAGACGGTTATTCGACTTTCTTCCTAAATATGTTACTCCACATGTTAATAAGATTGAAGATCCACGTGTATATGCAAGAGTTGGTGCGGTAAGTTTTTCATTCATATGTGCAGAATTTTTGTGTGCGTACGTATTTGACTCATATTTGTATCTTTACAAATTGATAATTTGTTAATATAGTGGTTAATTCGGTTATGTGAAGACATGGATCAATTGCTTAGGATATGGGGTGAAGTAATCGATC